TCCGAGCAGAGTCAAGAGAATGGCGGTCCCCTCACCCCGGGTGACCAACCCTCTCGCAAATGGTGCTTCGGGTCACAGTGAGGACACGGCCACGTGTCCATCAGGGTGAAGCATTACCGGGGTGCGTGCCCCACTGACCAGGCCAGGCGATGGCACGCAACTGAACCATGAACTGAGCCTGGCGTGCGACAGGCACTGTGTCGGGCTTCTGGGACACGGTGACGGGTGAGCCCCTGGGTTAGTCGGCCCGGGCCGCTGACTCACGCCGCACGGTCTGGAGGCTGGGGAGTCCGAGACCGAGGCGCTGGCAGGTTTGGGTCCTGGTGGGGGCTTGCTCCCGCCTTGCCGACCACCAACCACCTTTTCTGTGTCCTTGCGTGGTGGCGGGGTGCGGGAGAGAGTTCCGGACAGGGCTGTGGTCTCTCTTCTCCTTACAGAGACGCTGATCTCATCAGGAGCAGCCCACACTCTCTCGGCCTCATGTCCACCTAATGCCTCGCAAAGGCCCCATCGTCACACGGCCATCGCATTAGGGGGTGGGGCTTCAAAATATGGATTTTGTGGGGGCGCGCGCAATTCAGTCAGTAGCAATCACAGTCTCTGCCCTGGAGGAGCTCACGGACCCTCACCAAAAATCGCTTCCACACACACAGCTTGGAGTAATCTATACGGTCGGCTCCCGAACAAGGGGGCCCGCCCTGGCTCCCTCCGCAAGGCTGGCATGTTCCTCTCCTTCAGCCGCCCCGCAGGGCAGTGAGCTCGGCCACAGTGCTACAGGAGAGGGGGATGGGGACGGCGGTGCTGGTGCACCAGGCCATGTTGCCGGTGGCCGGCGGGTCCCAGCCTCCCGTTGGCCTTTGCCTCGCCCACTGTCGCGATCACAGGCTCCTCCGAGGGAGCCCCGGCCTAGCTGACGTCCGTTTCCATTGCCTTTCACTTTAACATAGTGAAACTAGGTCAGAGAATGTTCAGGAAGAGGCACGCTGTAAAATCAAAGACAAGAAGGTCAGACCTCTCCTAGTGGTTCATAATTCAAAATGCTCAGGAGCGCGCTGAGATGAGAGGTAGCCGAGGGGAACAGAAAGCCGCCATGAGTAAAGAAATCAAATCTTAAGGACCTATACCCTGTCCACGGCCGGGTAGGTGTGGGTCTGCGGTGCAGCACGTGGCCACGCTGCCAGCTGGCCCGTGAGCCTGGTGCGCTGGGGCCCTGGGGCCGCCCGCATCCTCCTTGTGTTCAGCTTTAGGGGCAGGCTGGGAGCCGGACGACTGACTTAGGTCCTCAGGAAATGGCTGTGCTCCAGCAAACACCGTGGACTTCAAGTCAGCCTTCTTGGGAGGGATTGGTTCGCCCATGCCCAGCCCCAGGGAGCTGCCCCGGGGAGAGGGCTTGGAGGCCCAGGCGGGGGCGGGGGGGGGGGGGCGCCCACTGCCCAGCACCGCCGCAGGGAGCCCTGAACCCGGAGAGAGTGGGCCCAGCGGGGACCTGGCCGTGAGTGCCTGCGCCGAGTGAGGGATGCTGCCGGGACTTTTTCTTTCTTAAGTAGTCGGGTTTGGTAAAGAAACGTCCTTGACCTTCTGTCATGAGGAGCGGCACTGGGGCTGAGAATAGTATGCTGCCACATACCGCTGCTCTGACACGCCACGGACCACCGAGCAGAAGAGAGGGGAGTGGATGGTGTTTGGTAGCCTGTGCCCTGGGGTGCGAGAGAAAGGAGTCCCCTAGGTTACTCAGGTTTGCAGGGGGTGGTGCCAGACCTGCGGGTCCAGCGGAACTTTCTGCGGTGACGGAAGTGTCCTCTGTTTGCCGTCCCATACCACGGCCTCCGGTCACGCGTGGGGCTTGATCTCCGGTCAGGGCACATGCAAGAACCAACCAATGAATAAGTAAATAAGTGGAACAACAAATCAATGTTTCTTCCTCTCTCTTTCTCTCTCTCTCAAATCAATAAATTTTATTTTAAAAAGTGGCTAATGAGGCCGAAGAACTGAATTTTAAATTTTATTTGCTTTTAATTAATAGCCTCATGTGGCTATTAGACTGCATAGGCCTAGGAATTACGCTCCTACTGAGAAGTAGCAGAAATGCTGTCTCTCCCTGTCCCCTCCCCCTCCCCTCCCCCAAATGTAGAAAGAGCTTTCTTTTGTCAGTGGGGATGGCGGATGGAGTCAGGTGGTTCTGGGGCTGAATTCTGGCCTTGCCATTGAAGCTATGGCACTCGGGCAGGTAACCTACTTTAAGCGTGTCCTACAGTGCCCGGCACACAGCAGGAACTCAGTAAGTGGTGGCTATTGTCATTATGGCGATGACATTATTGTCACCATTGCTGTCTGCACGGCGTTGGCAGAAGCAGGAGTTGTACTGTGGACAGAGAAGGAAAGGGGTTCCCCAAACAGAGCTCAGTCCCCGGAAGGAATGAACCGTCCCCCATCCCAGGGGTCAGTAGGCCTGCTGCAAGCTGAAGGGCTCGGCTGAACTGATGCCGTAGGTCATGTCTGGGGTTTTAGTTGAGAGGAAAGAGAACTTCGGAGCAGATGCGACCTCACACTCGGGGCCCCACACCTGCCCCCGGGTCTCCGCAGGTTTCTCAGCCCGAAGGTGCTGCGCCTGGGGTGCAGTTCTGCCTGCCTGCTGCTTCTCACTCCTTCCGCGCATCAGCGCCCTGGCTGGCCGCCGCAGCTCTCGGGGTCGTTTGCAGACATGCGTGCGTGCATTCACTCGGCAGACACGGACGGAGGGCCTGGTGCATGCCGGGCACTTGGGATCCAGAGGTGCTGAAAACAGAGCCCTTGCCCTTTGAAGCTCACGGCCTGGTGGGAAGACAAAAGTGGCTGGTTCCCAGCCTCACTTCGGCACAGGGAGAGGGATGTTAGTGATCAGGTCCAATCCGGGCAGCTGGGAGTGGCTGGTCGCAGGAGGCAGTTGCCTGGCCGCACAAAGCCCTGGGGATGCAGGCGGAGCAGGAGCTTTCCGGGGGAGCACATGGGGTGATAGCTGTCCCTCTGGTGTGCCCCAAGGTGGGGTGGGGGATACGGTACAGGGTGCCTCTACCCACCAGGGGGCCCCAGGCCATCTGTTCTCTGGGCCCTGTGGTGGTGAGCAGCCCAGGCCTTTGTTGGGGTCCCCAGTCCGGCTGGTCCACGAACCTTGTGGAACCGTGGTGACCGCCACGCTGGCCGCTGGCCCTGCCTGTAGGAAGAAGCACGGCTGCGTTTGCACCGTGTTCCCGCATGGCCATTCTGTTGTGCTCAGCAGCGCACGTGAGCAGGGCGGAGGGGAGATGGGGGAGGGGGTGTGTGTGTGTGACCCACAGAAACGAAGTGGAGCCACCAGGGCAGAGCAGAGAAGGGAGGCCTCCTGGAGCCCTCGGGCAGCTGCCTTCCCCACTGGGGCGGGCATGAGTTTCAGGTGGGCGTGTCAGCCTGCCCCGCCCCCGCCCTGCGGCGTGCCTGTCCTCTCTGTTTCGGCCCAGCTTATCTAGAAAATACTCCTAAACATATGGGTGACATCTTCAGGCATATTATTGATTTTGCTTTTGAAACCTGGTCATTTAGAAGTGTCCCCATTTAGCGTGCAGCAGAGATGACTGCTGGCCACTCTGGCAGATGACAACTCTTCCGACAGGACCTGGAGCTGGGAGGGTGGCTGTCCCATGAGCAGAGCTCCAGCACCCGGGCAGAGGGTGGCTGTGGGGTGTCTCCCGTGGTTAGGGGTCACGTTGTCGATGTCATGGACACTCTGCCCTTGGCCCTGGGCGCCATCTCTCCTGCTGGACTCAGTTCTTGGGCTCCCGGAATTCCCTCTGTTGCCTCTATTAGAAATTCCAGTCTCCTTGGGGCACCTGACTCATAAAATCCCACATGCCTTGGTCAGGGGCCTCTGGAACACAGTGGACAACAGGCCCTGGTCCTCGAGAGGCTGAGAGTGACCAGGGTGGACCTTTGGGAGAGGCAGTCCGCGGGGCAAGCTGTGAATGCTGACGGTCCGGTCTGGGGTTGGGAGTAGGGTGTGGTTTTCTGCCCCGTTGACCCTAACCTGGAGCCCTTCAGCTCCCAGGCTCTCAGGGGCGGGGGGGGGGGGGGACGACCCTGTGAGGCCGGGAGAATGTCGCCTGGACAGCCACATCCCCGCCTGCTGTTGGGAGCCCTGCCCTGCGGAATCCCAACTGCCTGAGTCTCGTGGAACCCCAACTGCTCCCGGACCTGGCAGCTACGGAGGGGCCACGGAGCACAAGGCTAGTTCATGTCCCTCTGGCGCTTTTAACTCTAAACGGTCTCTCCCCCCTCGGGGCTCGGTTTCCGTACACGACACGCAGATTCTGAGGCATTTCCTCACTCTGGATGGGATCACCACTTCCGATAGTGGGCGTCACGCCAGGTTTCGGGGTCTCGGTGGTACCAGCGTGGCTGGGGACAGTTTGCTGGGGCGGGGGGTGGGCCTGACTTTCCGGTTGGGCTCTGCAGCTCAGGGCGGTGGGTCCCAGCCGCAGGGAAGCCACTCAGTGCCTCCGTTTGGCTTTATTTTCCCATCTATGAAATGGGAAAATAACGCCTGTCTAACCTAGACAGCACACGGTGTTGGAAAGCTCCCACGGGAGAACAGCTGGGAAAGGCTTTGTAAAGAGACAAGGGGTGTGTAGGTACGGCGCCGCACTCCTTAACGACAGTTGGGAACCGGAATTCAGCCCGGCCCTGTCCACACCAGCTGCCACCCCTGGGTGTTAAGCCGGGTCTTGCATGAGCTATCTCTGGGCCCACTTCTGAGGAGGAGGGACAATAGGGGTGTGATTTCTTCTGACCTGGCACACGGGGGTAGGCTTTGGCAAAGCTGCCGGCTGCCCCTCCCACTGCTGGCTCCCACCCAGGTCGGCGCCCCCCCCCGCCCGTCCCTGTCACGCGCCCCAAAGGCTGCCTTCACCCCCTTCACTCGCCTGTAAGGGAAGGTTTCATATCTCCAGCCCCAAGCCCTTTTCTTAGGCGCTGGGGCGGTTGGTGGGCCGCTAGGGGAGCCCCGCCTCCGGACGAGGCGCTACCTGCTGAACTGGGGTCTCAGGAATCCTGAAATGGGAGTGGCTGGGGCAGGGGGGCTGGGGAACTTGGGGTGACATTCCCGGAACCAGCCCCCACCTGGCTCCCTCTCCTGGGCGGCGGGCGCAGGGCTCGCGGCCCTCCTTTCTCTGCCAGCCGGGCTGTGGGCGAGTTAGACCTCCCAGCCTCACGGGGCTGCTGTGCGGCTGCAGCGACTGGGGCGACCGCGGCGCGGCGGCGGCGGAGAGGAGGGCTCGGGAGGCGGCGCCACGTGAGTCCGGGGCCGGCGGGGCTGGGGCCGCGGCGGGAGGTTACCGTATTTATCTAGGCCAGTGCCGGACCCTTGGGGGCGGGTCACTGCGGGCGCGCTACCGTATTTGCTGGGAGCTGCGCAGGCCCTTTCCGGGAGTGGGGAGCGCTGCGACTTTATTACGTATTTTTCCAGGGTTGCGTGATTACCCCGGAGCGCTGCGGGAGTGGGAGGTGCGGGGGATGGGGGCGGGTTGCATTCATTCCCTAAGGGAGCCGGGGCTTGCAGCGTGGTGGGATGGGTTGCGGCAGCAGGGTGGGAGGCCTACGTATTTTCAGAGGGGTGGGGTTGCGACGCAGAGTTTACCATATTCCTCCGGGGTCACTCTGGCCCCAGGAGTTGGCAAGGTTGTGCGGGGGGAAAGCGGGGTCGGGTGGGTGGGGTCAGCTCTTCTGATTAATGCAGCTGTTTGATAAGAACAGCGGTGTGGGAGGCTGGCCGTCTGTATGGGGGCGAGGGAGAAGGGGCGCGGAGGCGCTGCGGGCGAGTTACCGTATTTGCGTTGGGCAGCGCAGACTCTAGAGGAAGGAGTCACTGCTGGAGACCGGAGGAACAGGGGCGCAGTCTGGGCTGTGAGTGTGGGACAGGCTGGAGAAACTTGGGGCGCGGGGGCCACGGCCTAGGACCCTCTGGGCGGACCGGGTCTTGGTTAGGGCTGTAACTGGGGAGAGAGGGAAGGCTGCCCAGTGACGAGGCCAGGCTGAGACTGGCCCAGGGTTCTGTGATGCTCTGCCTTTGCCTATGTTAGTGCAGCCGCGGGGGGGAAACACTTGTGGGTGGGGTGGGTCTACTGCAAGTAGAACCGCGCCCCTCTCCAGGGTGCTCCACCCAGGCCCGGGGGGGGGGCAGAGGGTGCGTCTCGGAGGCCCCCCTCCCCAGAGGGACTGGGGCCGCAGTAAGCAGTGGGATCTGCAAGTGTGCAGAGGCCTGCGTGCAGGTCCAGGGGAAGGGCCAGCCAGCCAGCCTCCCCGCTGGGGTGGGGGAGGGCCGGGGAGTGGCCAGCTCTGGCGCTCTGGCGCTCTGGATGGAGTAGGCCTCCGTGCTCTGCAGGAGGAGCAGGCGCTCAGGGTATTTGGAGGCGCGGGGGTGGTGGCAGCAGGCAGTGCCCTGTGGGAGCAGTGGCCCTTTGGGTATCGATGGCTGTGCCTGGCTGGGATGATGGCTGTGGTCTTGTTGTCTATTTCCAGGGGCGTGTCTTTGGTGAGCAGCCAGCCAGTGAGCTGAGATGAGCTTTTGACTGGGTGTCAGGCAACCAGGGCCTAGTCCTGCCTCACCTTGGGCAAGTCAGTTGACCTCCCTGAGCTTCAGTGTCCCCACCTCATCCGCAAACTGGGGTTCAGTGAGCCCTGCCCCTTCCTCAGGGCTGTTGCAAGGACAGTGGGAAACAATTTAAGAGCCACACAGTGGCCTGGTGGGGGAGAACCCTTAGGAGAACCAGCGTGGACGGACAGTGCTGCACTCTGCACTCGGGGGCGCTTGTTGCATACTGAGCACTATTCGGCCTGGGCCAGGCTTTGCTGTGGGCACACGGAGAGGAGTGGAGCTGAGACACGCACCCCCCCCCCTCGCCCCGAGCTCACACTCGGGTTCTGTGACTTGCAAACAGGCCTCTCCCAGGCCCCATTTTGCTAAACAAAGAGCTGCTGCCTTGAGTGTCTAACTGAGGCTACTTTCAGGTTCAAGGGTTTTTGTTTTGTTCCTTCCTTTGAGCTTTGCAAAAAAAAAAACAACAACAACAAAAACTTTAAACCATTCCCTACCCTTCCCTCCAGACTGGGGTGCACCTCCCTGCCTGCTCTTGAGAAGTGGGGTGGAGAGATGAGATGTGCCCAGGTGCAGGGTAACTTGCAATTTGAGGAGCCCCTGAACACTAGCCATCAGCATTGGTGCAATGCCTGTGCCGCTGGCGCGGGGCGCGGTGCGGGGGATGAAGGCGGAGGCCGCTGCTGTCCTTGAGGCACTCACAGGCGAGAAGACAGGGTGGCCTGACACGAATGCAGTGTGATGAGTGAGGGGCACAGGACAGGGCCGCGGGGGGTCATGGAAGGCTTCCAGGAGGAGGTGGCACTTCAGAAGGGCGTGAAGGAGGGGCAGGATGTGGTGGAGGGGTAGAGGAGAAAGAAGGGCATCTAGCAGAGAAACACCGGCCTGAGCAAGACTGTGAAGGGGCGGGTGCTGGAAGCTGTTGGAGGACAGAGGTCCCCCCTGACTCCTCTCTCTGCTTCTGCCTCCCCAGGGGCTGGTGATTGCAGCTGGGAGTGCCCATGACCGAGCTGGCGTCCTCCGGGGGCGGGTCCCCTACGGGGGACGGGGAAGAAGGTCTGGGGGACGAGCGAGGCCTGGTCATCCACCACCCCGCGGAGGAGCAGTCCCACCGCTGCCCGCTGTGTGGCCAGACCTTCTCGCAGCAGCCCAGCCTGGTGCGGCACCAGAAGGCGCACGCCGGGGCGGGCCGCGCGGCCTCCTTCGTGTGCCCCGAGTGCGGCAAGGCCTTCAGCGTCAAGCACAACCTCGAGGTGCATCAGCGCACCCACACGGGCGAGCGCCCCTTCCCCTGCCCCGAGTGCGGGCGCTGCTTCAGCCTCAAGCAGAACCTGCTCACGCACCAGCGCATCCACAGCGGCGAGAAGCCGCACCAGTGCGCGCAGTGTGGCCGCTGCTTCCGCGAGCCGCGCTTCCTGCTCAACCACCAGCGCACCCACGCGCGTATGCCGGCCCCGCACCCGCGCCGCCCCGGTGTCTTCGGGGAGCGGCGGCCCTACTTCTGCGCCCGCTGCGGCAAGAGCTTCGCGCGCGAGGGCTCGCTCAAGACCCACCAGCGAAGCCACGGCCACGGGCCCGAGGGCCCGGCGGCGGCGGCGGCGGCCCATTTAGGCCGCGTGCTATGATGCGCGCCTGGCCTGGGGCCGGCTGTTTCCCGCCCCCGAGCCGCATCTGTGAGGCCTGGAGGTGGCGCTGGGCTGCGGTCCCCCCTCTGGATGGGATCCCGGAAGATGGGGAGGGCTGGCTGGGGGTCTCGGAGGAGTGGGCCGCCCTGCTCCGTGGCCTTCTTTTGCCCCTCCCTGCGGACGCTGGGGCTGGCTGCACAGGGCTGCTCCTGGCCCCTGCGCTGGCTTTCCTCCTCAGGATGGCTCGGCCTGGGAAGAGCAGGTGAGACCCGGGCCAAAGCCGCTGTCAGGCTTGCGGGGAGGGGGCAGGTGGGGGTGGGGGTGGGCTCACTGGTCTGTGGTAGGTCTCTGTGACCAGCTTCTTACTACACCTTCCTTAACAGAGCTGTCGGGGCAGAAAGCGACATGGAGATGGCCACCTACCGCAGCGCCCGGGCCCAGGTCATCCAGCCCCAGCATTTACCATCTGGCGCCCGCGGGAAGTCATTTCACGCCCTGTCTCAGTGTGCTCATCTGTGAGTGGGGGCTAAGCCTGAGGGGTGCGGTGAGGGCTGTCACCGCCGTGACTAGCCAAGAGAGGGGGACGTGGCTGGTCCAGAGCCTGTTTCAAGCTGTGCTGTGTGCCAGGCCCCGCGTGCGGCTGGGCTGGGCTCTCTGGAAGGGGCACAGACACAGGCCTTGTCCCCGGAGGTGCCACACCTGGTGCTCACCTAGGGGGACGAGGGCCATCACAGGGGACAGACTATAAAGTGCAGGGGTGGGGGTGGGTGTAGTCACTGGTGTCACCCAAGGCCATTTATTAGTTTGAACTAGGTCCTGGGGATGGAGAGAGGGGCCCCAGGGAGAGTAGGGGTGCTATCCCACCCGCCCCTGATAGCAGAGGGTCACATCTGCCCTGCAAAGGACTCTGTGGCCAGGGCGAGGAGACACTAACAAGGGTGCAGCGATCTCAGACGACCAGTTCAAGAACTGGAGGCCCTGGGAGGCTGGGCCTCAGTGGGACGGGCAGGAGCCTCGAGGGTCAGAGCCCCTGAGGACCTCCCCGGGAGGCGTGGCCAAGGGCGTGCCATGAGAATGGGCATAGCCAGGCCTTCCCTGGGGCCTCTGAGCCCGCCGTGGCGCTCCGAGGTGCAGCTATTTGGAGGATGAGGAAACTGAGGCTCAGCCACGCTTGCCCCAAGGCACTTAGTGGGACCTCGGTGCAAGCCTGGGTCCTTCTTTGGCTTCTGGACCCCAAGACCCTCGTCTCTACCCCACCGCCCTTAGAGAGGCTCTCACTGGTGGGGAAACAGAGCTGTGGGCATGCGGGGGTGGGACCAGGGACTGTGTGGGGAGCCCGGGCAGGGCATAACTGGGTGGAGTGGCCGCCCCGAAGGGGAGGTGGTGCCCACGGTGGTGGGTGGGGAGGAAGGACACTGGGGCTGGGAGAGGACCTGCGCTCACAGAGCCCCGGTCCCAGGCCCGGTGCTGTGCTCAGTGCTGCAGGCCCGGCCCCGCCCTCTGGCCTCCCTCAGGGCTTTGCTCTGGGATCATCGCCCTCTGCCTGCCACCCCTAGGTGGCCGTGGCAACATGGTCCACTACTTAGTGGCAGAGATTGAGAGATTATACTGGGAACGGGGACATCTGGGGCCGGTCACCAAAATGTCCTGAAGCCAAGTCACCTCATCTGTTGGATGGATGAGTGATCCTGGTGCCCGAGGACAGGTACGGGTGGCCCACCTGACTGCCCTCTCCTGGCCCCAGAGGGGTGGCCAGGCAGGGCTGGGTCATGGCCCCGGACCCGACCCTGCCTCTGTCTCCGTGAACAGATGCGGAGCGGGCAAGACCTCTGGGCAGTGTGCAAGGCACATCTGGGCACAGACACCAGGAGTGGGGACCCCGCGGGCCTGCACCCCGGCATGAGGACACGCACCCTAAGAAGACCTACCTCGGGAGGTGCCCTGCAGTGACAGCAAGGGGACTGGTGGAGCCCAGCACTGGGGACAGGTTCCGTTCCCCGGCGGGAAGACCCCCTGAGCCCGCCCGGAGTCGCGTCCAGGGAAGAGCTTGTCCCGGCCGCCTGGCTGTCTGGCCACGGGCCTCTACTCTCGAGTGGCGGCAGGGACCACGCCTGTGTGGAGAGCTGGCTTCTCCACCCCCGCCTGGCCTCCGGAGCTGGGAGGTGGCCGGCCTGACAGCGCGCGGCGCGCGGCTAGCAGACCTGGCTCTCGAGGCACGGCCTTCCCGGTGTGAACACCCACGAGCAGGCTCCGCTGGCCTTTCAGCAGAGGTTCCTCGCACCCCTGGGGGCGTGAAGCCCTTCGATGAACTGACAGAGGCTGTGGACCTGCTCCCCTGGAAAACGCGCCTACTCACAGAGATGGAAGACCCTACCAGCAGCACCAGGAGCACCCCAGCCCCGGGCCCCAACCCGCCACCCTGTCCGTGCCTGACCCAGAGGGACCGCCACACAGTAGCATCCCTCCCTCCCCCGCCGGTCCTCCTTCCCTTGTTTGGGAATAAAGAACTCTGAGGAGGGGACCCTCTTAGCGACTCTCTTCTTCCAGATCTAAGGAACAGGGCCTCAGGGGTCTGGGGCCTCCATCGCTCCCTAGACGTTGCTGGAGGCACCGTGGCCTGGCCTTGCCCTTCCCCGTTTTGGGGTTGCTGGCTGTGTGGCCCAGGCTGCGGGCTTGCTGGCGCAGCCCCGGGCTCCTGGCTCACCGTGAAGGTGGAGAAAGCTGGACCTTGTGTGGACGCTGGGTGAAGCAGCAGTTTGGGCCGAGTCAGCCCCAGGGAGAAGGAGTCCTACGTCCGGCGGCCATGCCCAGGCATTCGGCCTCGGCCGAGTACGGTGTGGGGTAGGCTGGGAAGGGAGACGCCGTCTTGCTCCTGGTGCCAGCCAGCTCCAGGCAGGGAGAGAGGCTGGCAGAGGGGCTTCTGTGTGTCCCAGTGTCCACCAGCATGGGCCAGACTCCTCCGTCTTTATGCCCAAGCAGTTGGCCTGGAGCTAGCTTCCTGGCCTCCCTCGTATGAGCTGCCCATCAGAAAAGGTGTGACTCACCAGCGACAACCAGACTTCACGAAGCTGGTTGCACTTAGGGAGGGAAACCCTTGTGGGTGGGGAGAGGCCTTTCGTCACAGCATTGAGATAAAAGCCCGGGGCTTTGCGTTGTGGGGGTCACGCAGGCCTTGGGTTTAGGTGGGGGGTGGGGGTGGTCCCAGGGCTGGGCTGCGTGTGGTCAGGGTTGTCGGGAGGCCTGTCTGCCATGTGCCTTGTCCTAGGGTGACAACCCGCTCTGGGGAGATCAGAGAGAGAGCGCCGGCATTCCTGGCTCCTGGAGCTCTCCTTGCTCCAGTGTGGAGGGAACCTCACAGACTCACCCCCGCTGATTGTCAGTTTGTTCATCCCTCCCCTCCCCCAGCTTGTACCTGTGCGGCCCCCCTTCCTGCCTCAGGCTTCCTTGGGATCTCTCTGAAATGTGCGGCTCCCGCCCACCGCCCGCCGCACCCTCTTCTGCAGCAGCCCAGCTCCCCCCGACCGCCCAGCCCACATCCCCTTCCTGCTCTGCAGTGTCTGTGTTAACTCACCAGCGCCCCCTTGGGGACTGCATGCAGCCTTACACTCCAGCTTCCTGTGTGTGTGTGTGTGTGTGTGTGTGTGTGTGTGCGCGCGCCCGCACGCGTTAAGTGAGGGTGTCTTAAATTTCCAACACTGTGAGCTTCCTGAGGGCAAGGGACACGTCATTTCTTCTTGAACCCCAGCAGGGACTAGCACAGGGCTGGGCTCAGCACTCGGCACGTACTTACTTGCTGACTGGCTCGTGGACCAAGTGCTGGAGGCCGTAGGGGGCGTGCGGTGGGAGGTGCGGGCGGGGAGGGGGCATGTTAGTTCACAGTGGGGCGTTTCACTGGCTGTGGGCTTCCCCGCCCTGGGGCAATCATGGCCATAGGAGGCCGAAGGTCCCATCCATAGCTGGGGCAGTGGGACAGGAGGGACCGCCCCCCAAGGCTGCGCATGACTGTGCTTCAATAGTCATCCAGGCTGGACATTCCCGTTGGTCACTGACACCCAATGCGATGACCGAGTGGAATAAATGTTCTGCTGACATCAATTGGTGTGAGGAGTGGTCATTTGGGGCTCAGCTGGAGCAGGGTGGGGGCCTCCAGCTACCTCCATCATTGCTTGAGGGGGTCTCGTTCAAGGTCACGTGGGCTGTAGGAAGCATAACTCCAAAGGGCCTGCAACGGATAAGCTCAGTGCCCCCACCTCCACCCCACCCCCCGGCCTAATGACTGCGGTGTGGAGTCGGGTAATGGATACGGGGTGGGGTCCCCAGGAAGTAGTCCCAGCCGCTTGCTCCGCCCACAGTGAGGCCGAGATGCTCCCCATGGGCACCTGAGAGGTGCGCCGCGGAGGGGTTCGGGCTAGAGGGCTGTCTGCACCAGGAGGCGTGGCCATAGCTGTCCCTACTTTAATCTCCCCATCTGTGACACAGAAAAAGTCCCGCTCTTCCTACCCACGGAGTTGTGAGAGTCACGCGTGAGCATGAGCTGTGTGTGCTGAAAAGCGCGGCAGCGTCACCAGCGTCCTATGCCTGAGGTGCCCCTGGCGCTGAGCTGACCACTCGCTTCGCCTCCCACGAGGCTCCTGTGGCAGAGAGCGCTGGACCGCACAGTTGTGTCGGGCCCACCGCCAGGGAGCTGGGGCCTGAGCGAGGGACTCCCTCCTGTTGATGGCGCTGGGGCCGGGCCTGGTCCTGGCGGAGGCTCATTCCAGAACCTTCCTTCTGTGCCTGGCTCTTTGGCTCAGACTTTCGGCTGCCTTGATTGTGTCTATCTGCCAAGGAGGGTCGTACCTTGAGGACCTGGTGTTGTGGGGGGCGAATCAGGCAGGACCCTGGCTGCACTCAAACCGGCCACCCAAGAAGGGAACTGGGGGCTCGTGTCACTGAGAAGGGCAGTGACTTGATGGTTGACACCCAGGACGTAGCCCCTCTTCGGCTCAGCTCTTCCCCGTGGCGGCTGCCTCCCAGCTCGCAGGGCAGGAAGGAGTGGGCAGCAGCTCAGCCCCTGCCTGCCCGGGCTCGGTCCCGCCCCTCGCCGTCTGAACCAATTGCAGGGCCCGCTCCAGATGGTCTGAACTGGTCCATGCCCTTGACCAGACCCCGGCGGCCGGGCCAGGCCAGGGGGACTGCAGCGCTGTGAATGGCCAGGCCTGGGTACGTGCCACTGCCACGGGGTCAGCTCCTCCTGGAGCCCGTGGGTCCAGAGTGGGGAAGGGACCGTTCACCAGGGGCAAAGCAGAGGCTGCAGGAGGTGAGAGGAAGCCGGGTGGTCCGCCAACAGCCCTGCTCCTGACTGACCAGCAGCGCCGCCCTCGCGGGGACTTGTTACTGATGCCCAGTGCAGCCCCACTCCCGACCCCAGGGCAGCCACTGCGTTTCAACAAGAGCCCCAGGCGGCGCGCGGGGGCCGGTGCTCTGCCCAACGGCGCTGGTCCGCCTCCCTTTCCGACCCTGCTGCCCAAAGCGGGGAGAAGGAAACCTGGTAGGCCAGGGGCTGGGGTGTGTGTAGAGACAAGGTGGGGCCTCCACCGGTCCAGGGTCCCGGCCACGGTCACCCCGCCCACCCTGGGGACCGGAGCACAAGTCATCAGCCTGGCTTGACTCGAATTTACCCTCACCACTGAGCAGAGAGCAGGAGAGAGAGACCCAGAAAAGGGCCCGTCCTGGGTGAAAATGCAGGCCGCTCCCCCGGAGTGGTTCCCCTACCCCCGATTCCCTCTCCACCCTCCCGTGACCCCCATGAAGCACCGCCAAGCTCACTTTTCTCACGGTAATTGTGCCGAGTGGGAGGGTGCCTGCTGTGGAGGCTGCTGGTGCCCTTTCAAGGCTGAGTGTCGGCTGCCACTGGTTCGTCCTGCCCAGCCTGAGGGGCTGCCCCAGCTCACCCCACCCCCGCACAGGGGGCAGCTCAGAGCTCCTCAGGGACCAGATGACCCACCTGGCCCCTTTCCTCCCCGGCTGGTGCTCCCCTTCTGCAGAGAGCACCTCCCGAAGACATTCTTGGTCTCCTGAAACAGCATCCTTGTCTCAAGCTCTGCTTCTAGGAACCCTGACCCCAGGCAGTGTGTCTGAGGATTATGCCCTCAAAGCAGCTTTTAAAAATATGTTATTTATTTTTAGAGAGAAGGGAAGGGAGGGAGAAAGAGAGGGAGAGAAACATCACTGTGTGGTTACCTCTTGTGCACCTCCTACTGGGGACCTGGCAACCCAGGCATGTGCCCTGGCTGGGAATCGAACTGGTGACCCTTTGCTTTGTAGGCCAGTGCTCAATCCACTGAGCTACACTAGTCTTGCTAAGCATCTTGCACATACAAGATATCATGCCTAGAATCTTCTCTTTGGCGGTTCTGGGTGGTGCTGGTTACCCAAAGGCTTTCAGGTAAGTAGACTAATGGATTGGAGGTGGCTGTCACCTCTGGGTGGTGACAAGCAGAGACCAGGTGGGCCAGCGACGGGCCGTGTCCCAGGCCCGGGGAGATGCGCGTCAGCTCCCGTGTGCAGCCGGGCACCCTGGGCAGCATCCCCCTCCTGGGCTCCCACCCGGCCCTGTCACCAGCCCTGCTCCTCCCAACAGCTGGGACTGCCTCTGCTCTGCAGCAGAGGCCCTGGGAGCTGGGGCTGGATTTTTTCTTTTTTAAAAGATTTTATTTATTTACTTTTAGAGAGGGGAGAAGGGAGGGAGAAAGAGAGGGAGAGAAACACCAGTGTGTAGTTGCCTCTCGAGCACCCCCTACTGGGTCTTGGCCCACAACCCAGGCATGTGCTCTGGGAATTGAACTGGCGATCCTTTGGTTTGCAGGCCAGTGCTCAATCCACGGAGCCACACCAGCTAGGAGCGTGTGCTTCTCTCTTTTCCCTGCCACGTGGAGTCCCCGAGGAAGATATTGGTGTGACTCGTCACTGTCCCTTTATGGCATTCCTTGGACAGAGTCCATTTTCCCAACACGGCTGACGTTGCTAGTGAGTCTTGGCAATCATACACTATATTAATGTATCGGTCCTGGCCGGGTAGCTCAGATGACTAGAATGTCGTCCCCGTACGCCAAGGTTGCAGGTTTGATCTCTGGTCAGGGCACGTACAAGAAGCAACCAATGAGTGGATGAATCCGTGGAGCAACGAATCAATGTGTGTGTCTCTCCCACTTTCTCTCTCTCTAAAAAAAAAAGAATCAATCAATAAAAATTTTTAAAATTAAATGTATCAAAGTAATATGTCTATCTTACATTTATACCATGTTATATATCAAATTCATTCTATTAAAAAAGAACCAAAATACGATGCATACTGAGAGACGCCAGACTTTCTGTAATACATGCCAATGGGACAGTGGCGCCCTCTGGTGCACGTTGGGTCTGAGCGTACCCCTTTGCTCTGACACTTCCCACTGGACTTCAGTTTCCAGTCTCCTCTCCCAAGGAGGCTACAAAGCAAAGGTTCTCATTTTCCAAGACGGTGACATGCTCTTGCTTTGGTCTGGTGGTTTCTTATTGCCTTATTGTTCTTGGATACTTTTTTTTGTTTTTGATCTTCACCTGAGGACATAACTTCATTGCTTTTAGGGTGAGAGGTAGGGAGAGAGAGAAGCATCGATTGGTTGCCGCCTTCCTCCTCCTCTTCTTCTTCTTCTTTTAAAAAACAGAATAATTATATTTCAAGACACAACTTGCTTACAGCCAAGAAATCAAACAGCACAGTAAAATAACAAAAACATGATATTTCATTTGCAATGCATGAGATATGGTTAACATTGTAGTCATAAATGAGCTCTTAAGAAACTAGTTACAAAGACACTGATTGGTTGCCTTCTGGAGGCACCCAGACCAAGGAATGTGAGCTGGGGACCCAGCCTGCAACCTAGGTATGTGCTCTGACTAGGAATCGAACCCACAACCCTTCAGTTACAGGATGATGCTTCAACCAACTGAGCCACACTGGCCAGGACAGTTTTTGGATACTTTTGCAAAGATTTAAACATATTTTTATTCTGTTTGACCTTTAGCTGTTTTCGGTGGGAGGGTTGGCATGAGTAACTTATGGGAAACAGGACCGAGTCACGACGTTTTGGGCCTCTCTGCCTGCCCCGTCGCCATATCTCAGACTCAGTGTCCCCAGGCTGAACACAGCAGCCTGTCACTGTCCTGTCTCCGAAGGCCATGAGAAAGTGCTGTGACCCCAGACTATTCCACAGCCAATGAGCCGGGGTGACCGCTGGCCTTCATGTGAATCAGAAAATGGCGTCTCTTCTTTAGTTAAAGGTTCTAACTTTATTTTTATTTATTTTAGAGAGAGCGGAAGAAGGGGGCGGAGACAGACAGACAGACAGACATTGATTGCTGTTCCACATATTTACACATTCATTGTTTCCCGCCCCCCACCCCCATCCTGCTCTTTCCTAGTCTGCTTGGGCCGCCGTAACAAAGCACCACAGACCCAGTGGCTTAAACAACACAAAATTATTTTCTCACAGCTTTTTTCCCGGCTGGCAAACAGCTGCCTTCCATGTCCTCACATGGGAGAGAGAGTGTAATTTCTGTCTTCTTTTTAAGATTTTATTTACTTATTTTTGGAGAGAGTGGAAGGGAGAAAGAAAGACAGGGAGAGAAACATCAGTGCATGAGAGAAACATTGATGGTTTGCCTCTCAGCCCGCAACTCAGGCATGTGCCCTGACTGGGAATCGAACTGGCAACCTTTGGGTTTGCAGGCCTGTGCTCAATTCCTTGAGCCACACCAGCCAGGGCTCTGTCTTCTTCTTCTAAGGCCACTAATCCCATTATGAGGGCCCCATCCTCAGGACCTCATTAGCTCCAATAGGCCCATCTGTAAATTCCATCACACTGCAGGTTGGAGATCCTACACTTGGATTTTAGAGGGGACAAGAATGGAGAGTGTATCTTTTTGGTCCTGCCGGGGGCAGCAGATTTGACCTGAATCTGAGTGAACTGTTTCTATGTTTACCAAATTCATTGTTCTGTTTGCTCTTTTTTGTACATAATATTTTTGAAAATTCTAACCTACAGCAGTGTTCTTTACTGTCTGTACTTGTTTTAATTGGAATATCATCAATAGTCCTGGTGTATTCACTGGTTGATTCTTTAAGTGCCCTGACTGGGGATCGAACCTGCAACCTTGGTTAGGACGACATTCTAACCAACTGAACTACCCAGCCAAGGCAAAAGTTTTAAAAGAAACCTATCATTTGTTAATAATAATTCTTGTAACAAAGAAGGACTCTGTTTGAATAAGACATTTAATTCTACCAGAAAACCATCAAAATATACACATTTAGTTACAGGACACTTTACTGCCATCTGCCCAAACTGTGGTAAACACATGTTTTGTCTTTGAAGTAAAACAGGTAATAACATTGCTTTTCTGAAGTGCCACTGTCTAGCTGTGACTAGCACGCCCTTCAGCGTGGCAGCCTGAACCATCGTCACAGCAGCACTGAGTTTGTCTTTTACAAATGACTGTTTTGCCCTGGCTGGCGTAGCTCAGTGGATTGAGCGTGGGCTGCAAACCAGAGCATCGCAGGTTCGATTCCCAGTCAGTGCACATGCTTGGGTTGCAGGCCATGGCCCCCAGCAACCGCACATTGATGTCTCTCTCTCTCCCCCCCGCCTTCCCTCTCTAAAAATAAATAAATAAAATCTTTAAAAAATCTTAAAAAAGAACAATTGTAAAAAAAGACGTTTAAGTGCTAAAAAATAAAAATAAATAAAAATTAAAAAGTATAATTTTTTTTTTAAAGTGATTGTTTCCCTCCCTTAAATAGATCACAGATCAGTTCTCTTTCCCACCATCCATGGTCATCGTCGCTATATTAGTTCACCTCCGCGTTTCTGGCTTAGACTCTTGCAGTAGCCTGGACCTGGTCCTCCTGCCTCCAGCCCAACTCTGTACCCCCCGCCCCCCCCACCGCCAAGCTGCTCTCAGCACCCCGGATGCCCTGGCTGCCCTTCTCCCTCTGCACAGAGAACGTCCTGTACGCCCTCCCAGCCCTCGGGCAGACACAGCTCTCCCGGGGACGTCTTCCTCCTTCTCATCCCCGCCATTGTGGGACCTGCCACAGTCCCCGGCGGTTCATGGATTTGTTTCTGAGTCTGTCCCCACTCGGTCGTTTCTCCATTTCGCAGAGCTTGGGGAGCTTTCTCTTTGTCTCCAGGGCACCTACAGTGAGCGCATCAGGACCTCGCGTCACACTGTTTCAGCCCCACAGGTTTAGTGTCTTCTCATCATTAGACGGAGCGCCTTGCGTCGGGGATTGGTCTTGGGAATCGTCGAGTGCGAGTGCGGCGCCTGGCAGCCCCCGCGTTGCGGGCAGCACTCGTGTCTTCCTGGCCGACTGGACGGCTGGAAGCCCAGGTCCTCTCCCTCCTGCCCAGAGTCTGGGAGGGGATGGGAAGAGGGGTGTTGCCCTTGTGGAGTGAGCGCTCCCTGCCCTTGTCATTAGCCCCGTGGCCACTAGGGGGCAGGCAGCCTCCATCCTTCCCCAGATCAGGGCCCAGCCCTTTCCAGAGGCAGCCTTCCCTGCGGGAACACCGATTCTCCCAAAACCCGTGTGCAGGAGGATCACTTAGTAAAACGGTCAGCGCAGCAGACAGGCAACCTGCTAAATCACTGAGGAGTTAATTGAAGCTTTGGTTTTATCCAGTGTGCTCTTCAAAACTTAATATTTTGCCCTGGCTGGCGTAGCTCAGTGGATTGAGCGTGGGCTGGAACCAAAGTATCACAGGTTTGATTCCCAGTCGGGGCACATGCCTGGGTTGCAGGCCACGACCCCCAGCAACTGCACGTTGATGTTTCTCTCTCTCTCTTTCTCTCTCCCTTCCCTCTCTAAAAATAAATCAAATCTTTAAAAATTTATTAAAAAATACTTAATATTTTCTTTAAGAACAAGTGCAAGCCCTGGCTGGTTTGTCTCAGTTGGCTGGAGTGTCCTCCCGTGAACAAAAGGCTGTGGGTTCAATTCCCTGGTGGTCCGGGCGCCTACGTATCTCTCTCACACTGACGTTTCTGTCTCTCCCTTCCTGGCTTTCTAAAAGCAATGAAAAAATGTCCTCAGGTGAAGTGTGCTTTTCAACTCAGTTTACTCTGTTGTCTATTTTGAGGACATGGTAGCTGGTTAGGCCTGTGGCTGTGCCCCGGAATGGACTCTGCTTCTGGGAGCGACACAGCTGGGGTGAGCCACCACGGCCGAGGTCCTACCTTTCACCGAATCGAGTCAACGCAAGTGGACCTAATGCCCGAGGGTGGGAGCCTTCCGGACCTTCTTATGAAGGGGGTTGATGGGGTGGGGGATGGGAGAGGCCTTGTCAGTGTCCCACCAAGGGGTAGCCCGTGGCCCGAAGCCCCTGGCGGGCAGTGACAGCATCCCTTCAGCTTCGGAACAAGACCAGGCCAGGAGAAGGTGCCCCCTGGGGACAGGGCAGCCGCTGAAAGCCTGCTCCTCCTTCCTGGGCCACGGCTCAGAGGGCTCAGCACTTCTGACATTTCAAAGACCAAGCCTGGTGTGAAAGTGTGAGGTCAAGTTCACGGAATGGCCAGTCTCTCTCTGCACCCCGGTCACAAGTCTTCTCTCATGGATGTCATGTCCCCCAGGGCCATGACACTAAGAAAAAAAAAGCCACTCTCTATAGGACACACCGGGTCTGATTTCACCCCAGTATGAAGTATCTAAAGTCATCAAAGTCTTAGGAACTGAAGCAGGAAGGGGGGTCCCAGGGCCGGGGGAGGGGAGGGGAGGGGAACTCGCGTCTCCCAGAGAGGCAGGGAGGACGAGTCCTGGAGCTTCAGGCCGCTGGAATGCACACCTGAAAATGGCTATGATGGTCCCGTTAATGTTCTTTGCTGTGCTTTGTTTTGGGTTGTTTTTACCACAATGAAATACAATGTGAAAGAGTCTTGCTCCGTGTCCCACTTTTTTCTGTCGTGGGAGGCTTTGGGACGCTATGGCTTCTCACCAAAGGGCTTTCGTTGTATGAGCTACTTGAAAGCATGGACGTGTCAGCATCTCAAGTGCTTTACTAGCTCAGGAAGATAATTCTTGGCGGGGGAAGCAGCAGCGTTAGTCTGAGGGTTCCTCAGGCCGGGGGTTTTAGGGAAGGCTTCCTGGAAGAGGAGGCGAGGAATTGTTACCGACGCTGCCAAGGTTGTTTCAGGTTGGACAGAGGCCCGGGAGCTGCTGGTGGCAACGACGTCTTCATTGAAGCCCCTAAAGGTGCCATCCTTTCTGTCCCCAGCAGCAGGAAGCCCCCCAGACAGCTCGCGGTGCCCAGGGCACGACGGCCCGTCTCCGGGGACCCTCCCGTTTGCCCCCCACCGTCCATTCCGTAGCTGCACCAGGGGCCGAGCTGTGGCGAGAACGCCGGACGGGGCCGGCGCCCTGGAAGGCGTGTACCCGTGGGGCACCCTCCCTAACCCCGCCGCTCCTGACGTCGTCCTCGGTGGCCGGGCACTAAATCTGGGCTTCCCGTGGGTTGCAACCGTTCCGTTTCGGTGAAACCACTGTTTAGAAACTTCTTCTTCCTCGGAAACGCTGGTCATCAGAAAGACTTAGCGCCCGCAGAGCTGGCCCCGCCCCGCTCCCCTGGCCCCGCCCCGCTCCCCTGGCCCCGCCCCTCTCCCCTGGCCCCGCCCCTCCCGCCACTGCTTTAGGGTTCTGCCTGCGGGAGCGAGCGGACCCGGCAGCTGCTTCAACCAGCGAGAATGGAGCCAGCCCAGCGTGGAGGTTCTGAGACTGTGGCAGGGCAGGGGACAGGAGCAAGTGCTGAGACTGTGGCAGGGCAGGCGACAGGAGCAAGTGCTGAGACTGTGGCAGGGCAGGCGACAGGAGCACGTTCTGAGACTGTGGCAGGGCAGGCGACAGGAGCAAGGGCTGAGACTGTGGCAGGGCAGGCGACAGGAGCAAGGGCTGAGACTGTGGCAGGGCAGGCGACAGGAGCACGTTCTGAGACTGTGGCTGGCCAGGTGACAGGAGCACGTTCTGAGACTGTGGCAGGGCAGGCGACAGGAGCAAGGTATGTGTGGGCAGAGGTGTGCCGACACCCGCGGGGTCCCCGACCCGGAGAGGGGGCAGGAGCCGCCCGGAGGGCGCGATTTCAGGACCTCGGAAACGGTTCCTCCTTCTCCAGCTCTGGTCTCCCCAGCCCCACAGGGGAGGGAACAGAGGCTCCCACCTGTCTTGGGGGGCGGGGGGGGAGATTCTGGGAAGGGTTGCTCCCCGCAAGACTGGGATGAAGGCCTGGTGGGCGGGGCAGGAGAGGGGCAGTGAACGGGGTCCACTGCTCAGGGACCCCCTGACGTTGGGACTGCGCCACCAGCAGCCACCCACGCCCCGCCGCGCCCTGCCCGGTGCGTGCCTTCTCCCCTGCCCATGAAGGTGGCAGCTGGGACCCTGATTTCCCACATTCAGTTTTTGATTATTCTTGAACCTCTGCTCACTCAGATTCCCATACCTGAACCCTGAAAATGGTCGAGGTTTGCTAGAAATAATATTTCTGATCCTACCTACCTTTAAGCCGCCTGGGCTCTCGCCCACAAGCACTTTCGCTTCTTCCCGAAGCCTGACCCAGTCCTCCCCAGGCCGAGCTCTGGAAGCTTCCCTGACCACCTTTTTCCGCGGCTGTGAACTGGCGGAGGTGGGAGGAATCCTGGCGCCCCCGCCCCCAGCCCCCAGCCTCCAGCTTTGCATGGGCTGCCCGCTGGGAAGAAGGTGGAGGCGGTCGCGAGTCGCGACTAGAGTTGAAGAGGGAGCTTGCTTTCTTTTTCTCTCCGGGGCTCTGCTGGAGTCTCCAGAGTGGCCTGGAGTGACCCCAGGGAATTGGGCTGGTAAAGGAGACGGGGAGGGCGGGGGGGGAGAGGAATTGGGGAGAGAGAGAGAGAGACACACACACACACACACACAATCTTGATTCCACACAGCATCTTCAGCTGGAACGAGTGGGACAGATGTCATTTAGTCGCATTCTAATGGGGACCATGCAAACAATGGTGCTTACTTGGGAAAGAAAGTCCTTTCTTCTCCACACCCACAGGAAGTCTCTGTTTATTTGCCCACTAGTGTTTTTAATTTTTTTTTTGTTAATGTACAGAAATAATACTACTTCTCTGGTTCGGAATACAGCATGAAGTCACTCCTCTTTTATCGTTCAAAGTGACGTCAGTCTCCCTCTGCACTTGCACAAACTCTTTCTCTTGCCTTCCTCACACCCCCCTCAGGGTCCCTCACCCCACCACGTTCATGGAGTGGATGCGGCAAAAGTAAGTTAACACTTGTGCCTATGCGAAACAGAGTCGATTCTTTTTTAAAAATATATTTTATTGATTATGCAATTACAGTTGTCCCATTTTTTTCTCTCCTTTATTTCCCTATGCCCTGCAACCTTCTCCCACCAGCATTCCCCTACTGTAATTCTTGTCCATGGGTCACACAAATAAGTTCTTTGGCTTCTCCATTTCCCATATTATTTTTAACTCCTCCTATTTTGTACCTAGCAATGATGCTTCTTATTGCCTCTGCCTTTTCCCCCAATCTCCCCCCGACCCTCCCTGCTGATAACCCTCGATGTGATTTCCCTATTTCTGTGATTCTGTTCCTGTTCTAGTTGTTTGCTTAGTTCATTTTTTTTTTTTTTTAGGTTCGGTTGTTAATAACTGTGACTTTGCTGTCTTTTTACTGTTCATAGTTTTGATCTTCTTCTTTTTCTTAGATGAGTCCCTTAAACATTTCATATTATAAGGGCTTGGTGATGATGAACTCCTTTACCTTGACCTTATCTGGGGAGCACTTTATCTGCCCTTCCATTCTAAATGATAGCTTTGCTGGATAGAGTAATCTTGGATGTAGGTCCTTGCCTTTGGTGACTTGAAATACTTCTTTCCAGCCTCCTCTTGCCTGCAAGTTCTCTTTTAAGAAATCAGCTGATAGTCTTATGGGAACTCCTTTGTAAGTAACTGTCTCCTTTTGTCTTGCTTTTAAGATTCTCTCCTTATCTTTCATCTTGGGTAATGTAATTATGATGTGCTTTGGTGTGTGTTTCCTTGGGTCCAACTTCTTTGGGACTCTCTGAGCTTCCTGGACTTCCTGGAAGTCTATTTCCTTAGTCAGATTGGGGAAGTTCTCCTTCATTATTTGTTCAAATAAGTTTTCAATTTCTTGCTCTTCCTCTTCTCCTTCTGGCACCCCTATGCTTTGGATGTTGGAACGTTTAAAGTTGTCCCGGATATTCCTAAGCCACTCCTCATTTTTTTGAATTGTTTCTTCATTCTGTTCTGGTTGAATATTTATTTCTTCCTTTGGTCCAAACTGTTGATTTGAGTCCTGGTTTCCTTCCCTTCACTGTTGGTTCCCTGTGCATTTTCCTTTATTTCACTTTTCATAGCCTTTACTCTTTCCTCTATTTTGCGATTATACTACCATTTCGGTGAGCATGCTGATTACCAATGTTTTGAACTGTACATCTGATAGGTTGGCTATCTCTTCATCACTTAATTGTATTTTTCCTAGAGCTTTGATCTGTTTTTTCATTTGGACCATATTTTTCCCCTCCACACACCTGTTAGGTAGTAAGGGGCGGAGCCTTAGGTGTTCCCCATGGCGGGGCAAGCCTGGTTGCTGCACTGTGGTGCTGTATGTGGGGGAGGGGTTCAAGAGGGAACAATGCCACTTGCTGGGCTCTCTGCCAGTTTTCAGTCACTTGCCCCACTACCCACAAGCAAATTGGGCCCTTCTGATGCTGATTTCCAGGTGGGTGGGTTTGTGTACGTTCTAGAACTCTGTGCGTCTCTCCAAGGACCTCTCCTGTGAGGCTGGGAGTTTCTCCTGCTGCTGCAACCCCCACAGTTTTTTTCAGTCAGAGGCTTTGAGGCTTTATTTCCCCATGCTCAAAGCCTGGGTTGCGTGGTCTGTCTTACTCCCCAGTCGTTCCTCCCAGTTTATCTGCAAGCAAATGTAGGAAGTCTGGTCTGCCAGCTGCCGCCTCACCTCGAGTCCTCTCCACCCGGCTGCCCATCTGCGCACCTCCTACTGGTCTGGATGAATGTTTCTTCTTCAACCCCTTGGTTGTTGGAATTCCATACAGTTCAGTTTTCTGGAAGTTCTGGAAGTTATTCTTTGTTTTTAAATTTGTTGTTGTCCTTTTGGTTGTGTGAGGAGGCATAGTATGTCTACCTATGCCTCTGTCTTGGCTGGAAGTCTGCTTGTTATCCAGAGTTTATTCTTATGTCATTATTAACTATTATATTATTTTCCACTTGCACAAGTGTAAACCAACTTTTGCCCCACCCTGTACTAGGGCCACATACCGTATCAGGGCCTAGGGACACAGAGCAAGACAAGCAAGGTCTCACTCTTATGGAGTTTTATACTAAGGGCAGTTGAGAGAAAATTAGAAAGCAGACAGGAAAGGATATCCAATAGAAACAGCGTTATGGTGGAGATGAAGGACAGGAAGGAGTTCAGGTAAGGGTGTCTTTCTATGGCAGTGTCAGGGCAAGAGGATGCTCTTAGAAGACTCCCAACAGTGACTGGACTTAGGCTACGAAGAAGTGTCTTCCTCCTGGAGTCACAGTTCTGAGGTGTGAGTTTTAGGCTGAGGTGGGCTATGCGTCCTGAGTCATGTAAGAGATGTCCAGAAGGTACCAGGGAAGAGCCCAGGTGGGATGGCTGGCTTGGCTGGAGCATCGTCCCTTGCACCAAAAGGTTGCAGGTTCAGTCCCCAGTCAGGTCACATACCTAGGTTGTGGGTTTGATGCTGGTCGTGGCACGTGCGGAGGGCGACTGATCAATGTTTCTCAATCACATCAGTGTTTCTTCTTTCCCCTCTGCAAAATCAATAATAGTAGTAATAATAATAACACATATCCTCAGGTGAGGATTAAATTTTTTAAAAAGAAAATTACAGAAGTGTCTCTGGCCCTGGTGAATGTGTCCTCACTTGTGCCTGGTGCGGGCCCTTCCCAGTGGGGCTTCTTGAAGGAGGGTCAGCACGCTGCCCTTCCAGCCTCTTCCGTCTCTGTCCTTCCAGGGAGGTTTCTCCCTGTGGCAGGCCGTTGCCTGTAGTTTGGTGTCTTGTTCTTTGGGGCCATGAAGCTTTTATACTCAAATCACTGTATCTTAAAGCCTGAGAGGGCAGGCTGAGGCACACTCAAGGTGTTTGACAGTGGCACGGGTTCCTTTCTCACACATCCTTCCTCTGCCGCACGGAAGTGTTCTCAGCAAGAATAATGAAATGAAATGGTTGCGTTTTATGCTTGCCTTTACTAAACAAAAATAGTCCAACTGGTCAAGTGCCCTCCTTTGGACTCCTTAGAATATCTTTTTAGTCTTTCTTTTTTTTCTTTTTTCCCTTTTTTATTTTAATCATTGTTCAAGTACAGTTTTCTCCCTTTTACTCCCAATCCAGCCCACCCACCCAACCCTCCCCCCTCCTCTCCCATTACAACCCTTCCCCTAGTTTTTGTCCATGTGTCTTTTAAATTTGTTCCTGTAAACCCTTCCCATTCTCCCCTGAAATTCCCTCTTCTCTCCCCTGTGGTCACTGTCAGCCTGTCCTCTCTTTCAGTGTCTTTGGTCATATTTTGCTTGTTTTTTTGTTTTGTTGTTTAGGTTCCTGTTAAAGGTGAGATCCTATGGTATTCGTCTTTCACTGCCTGGCTTGTTTCGCTTAGCATAATGCTTTCCAGTTCCATCCAAGCTGTTGCAAAGGGTAGGAGCTCCTTTCTTTCTGCTGCATAGAATTCCATTGTGTAAATGTACCATAGTTTTTTTGATCCAGTCATTTACTGGTGGGCATTTAGGTTGCTTCCAGCACCCAGCTCTTGTAAATTGTGCTGCTATGAACATTGGGGTGCATAGGTTCTTTTGGATTGGTGTTTTAGTATTTTTAGGATATAGTCCCAGCAGTGGAATTGCTGGGTCAAAAGGCAGATCCATTTTTAGTTTTCTGAGGAAGTTCCATACTGCTTTCCATAGTGGTTGTACCGGTCTGCAGTCCCACCAGCAGTGCACTAGGGACCTCTTTTCTCCACAACCTCTCCAACACTTGTTGTTTGTTGCTTTGTTTATGATGGCCATTCTGACTGGTGTGAAGTGGTATCTCATTGTGGTTTTAATTTGCATCTCTCTGATAGCTAGTGATATTGAACATTGTTTCATGTGTCTTTGGATTTTCTGTATGTCCTCCTTGGAGAAGTGTCTGTTAAAGTCCTTTGCCCATTTTTTAATTGGGTTCCTTGTATTCTTAGAGTGTAAGTTCTTTATATATTTTGGAGATTAAACCCTTGTCTGAGGTATCATTGGCAAATATGTTTTCCCATACAGTTGGTTCTCTTTTTATTTTGATACTGTTTTCTTTAGCTGTGCAGAAGCTTTTTATTTTGATGAAGTCCCATTTGTTTATTCTTTCCTTTATGTCCCTTGCTCTAGGGAACATGTCAGTAAAAAAGTTTCTGCGTGAAATATCTGAGATTTTCCTACCTATGTTCTCCTCTGGGACTTTAATGGTGTCACGTTTTATATTTAAGTCTTTTATCCACCTTGAATTTATTTTTGTATAAGGTGTAAATTGGTGCTCGAGTGTCATTTTTTTGCACGTGGCTGTCCAGTTCTCCCAACACCATTTGTTGAAGAAGCTATTTTTACTCCATTTTAAGTTGCTGCCTCCTTTGTCAAATATTAATTGACTGTAGAGACTTGGGTTTATTTCTGGGCTCTTTGTTCTGTTCCATTGGTCCATGTGCCTGTTTTTTTAGTCCTTCTTAATATATTATTCTTTTTATTTCCATTACAGTTTTTGTGCAGTCTTATTTTTCTATTAGTTTCAGATGGATGGCATAGTGGTTAGACAATCACATACTTTATAAGACACTGCTCTCTAAAAGGTATGAGCTATCAACTGACAACACAGAAAAGGGCCTTTCTCATTCCCCACTTTCTTCAGCTGCATTTCTTTGTCCTTCAAGTCAGACACCACGTGCTCAGTCCCGAGCAAGTGCTGGTCAGGCACCTTCTTTATGTGGTAGGTACGGGGCTGAACAAAACAGGCGAGTCTCCATTTTCATGGAACTTACCCTGTATCGGCAGGGTGGCACAGAAATGAGAGGCAAGGTAGCACACAATGGGAAAGATGGCAGCAGTGGGTGCCGGGGGTGGGGCATGCCGGTGGGTGTGGGGGTTCAGGGTGCTCGTAAATAGAGTGTGACTGAAGGCCTCTTGTGCCACCGGGGTGATGCGGCAGGGACCTATTGCAAGTGAACCTGCCTCACACAAGTCTGGCAGGGAGAATGTTCGAGGTCAGATGAACAACCAGCACAAAGCCCCAAGGTCGCATGTTTGGGGAACAGCAGGGAGGCTGATATGATGAAGCAAGGTGGAGAAGGGGCAGAGGAGGAGGCCAGGGAGGCATCCAGGGCCCGGACTGGGTGGGGTCTCGGACCACTACAAAGCCTGGGAAGCCCTTAGGGACTTTGGACTGATGAGTGGTATCATCTGTCCTTTGTCTGAGACTCTGGGAGAAGGTTGGAAGCAGGGAGACCAAAGTCCAGAAAAGAGCTGATGATCAGTTCAATCTGGAAAAATCAGGAAAGGCTTGGTGTGGAGGCGATGTTTAAGTGGTGTGGTAAAGAGTGGGAAGGAATGTTCCAGGTGGGCAGGGAGAGAGGGGTTCAGGGAAGGGCAGGCTGACATTCTGGGGATCTGGAGCTAAGGTGGCAGGCACAAGGTGGGGTCCCCGACTGGGAAAAGCACCCACAATTACAGGCTACACATTCTCCTCAAGCCCACATGAAACATTTACAAAAACTTTATTGGGCCAAGAAGTAAATCTCAGCCAATGACAAATACAGATTTTACACAAATGTTCTCTGCCCACAGTGCAGTAACACTGGAAATCGATAACAAGGTAGCCAGTCTCCTGATACATTTTTAAATTTGATAATCACTTCTCTTACTTTATGGTCCAGCAGAAGTGAGAGCTGGGATTAGAACATATTGAAAACTGATCAACAAGGAGAGTGCAGGAAATAGCAACAGTGGGAAGATGCCAGTTCTTCTCAAACTACGCACAAATTCAATTAATGGCACTCAAAATTTCATCAGGATTTCCTCAAGGAAGTGGCAACTGATTTTAAAAACCCTCTAGGAGATTAGAAAGCCAAGACAAGCGAGAGAATTTTGAACAACAGCAAGGGAAGACTAGTGAGACATTTTTGAACAACAGCAAGGGGTTGGCACCCACTCGATTGGATAAATGAGACCGACTTTAAGGTCATTCTGATGAAGTCACATTGGTTTCAGTGATGGAAACACTGGCTCAGGAAGAGACCAAGAGTCCGACGGGCACAACAGAGAAGCTGGGGATAGACTCAGGGATATGTGGGTGCTTGGCATCTGACGGAGGGACTGTTCAGTGGGACGGTGCTAGGACACTGGACTCTTCGGAGGTTCTGACTTAGTTAAGAATGCTGATTTTTAACCACAGGAAAATGACTCTCAAACTTGCTGTTCATGGGAACCACCTGGAAGTTGTTGAGTTACTGATGCTGATTCAGCAGGTCTGGGAGAGGTCTGTGATTCTGCAGTTCTTACAGGAGCCCAGCTGCTGGCAGTATTGCTAATTGGTGACTCGCATTTGGAGTAGCAACAGCTTAAATTGTAAGAATAGTAGGTGTTTCTTTGATAGATAGGTGGCTCCAGGGTAGCTCAGTGATGTCATTAGAGATCCTGTTATCTTTTGCTCTGCCCTCCTTTGGCTTGAATGGCTCACACCTGACTTTTTGTTATCTTATTTGTTACCTCATTGCCCCATGATGGCCTCTGCAATTCCAGACATCACATTTAAATTCCATGCAAAAAGAAAGGGAGGAGGCATGACAACTGGAGCTCTCGCTGAAGTCTGTCCCTGGCATCAAGAGCACAACAGTATTTATAGAAGGCCCAAGGAAATGTCCCCTCAACTGTCACCAACTAGATGTGGGTCACATGGACACTCCTGTTTGGAAAGTTGCCTGGGAGATAGAGCATATGCATTTCCTGGTGCTGCTGTAATGCATGGCTACAACGCAGCCATGAAAACCCTCCCCGAATTTATTATTTTACAGTTCTGGGGGTCAGAATTCCTAACACCGGGTTGTGGAACAGGACCGTGATCCTCCTGGGGGCTCCATGGGGGAACCTGTGTCCTTGGCTTTTCCAGCTTGTAGAGTTGACCTCCATCACCAAAGCCAGCAGAGTGGCCTTTTCAAATCTCTCCCTCTCCGACCCCCCAGAGCTCTGCTCTTACACTCCTTTCTCTCACTCCAACTTCCCTGCCTCCCTTTTTAAGGCCTCTCATGATATACTTATGTGGAGCCCAGCCAGCTGATCTGAGATTCTCTGTCCATCAGAGGAGCCCAATCACATTGGCAAAGTCCCTTTTACTACTAAAGGTGATGAAGTCACAGATTCCAGGATTTGCACATGGACACCCAGTGTTTGGGTGCAGGGGTATTATTCTGTCACGTAGAGTGTCTAGATTTCTCCCAGCATGGAAGTGGGGGTAAGGTGAGTAGAGAAGGGGGCTGTTGGTTTAGTGAGTCCACAGTCCATTCTACCAGTATGGGCTTATTTCACAAATGAGCACAATCCTGGCAAACAGCGTTTCTTGTTCCGGTTGAGTCTGAGTCTAGGACTTCAGTAGCCTAAACCCTTGGGGGAAAAACTTGAGTCAAAAAGAGAATGCACTTTGCCCTGGCCAGCGTGACTCGGTTGGTTGGAGCATCGTCCTATAAACTGAAAGGCTGTGGGTTTGATTCTAGGTCAAGGCACATGCCTAGGTTGTGGGTTCAACCCTTGGTCAGGGCGCCTATGGGAGGCAACTAGTTGATGTTTCTCTCTCACATCGATGTTTTTCTCTCTCCCTTCTCTCTCTCTCTAATAAAAAAAGCAATGAAAAAAATGTCCTTGTGTGAGGGTTAAAAAAAAAGAGAGCGCGAGAGAGAGCACACACTCTTTCTTACAGTTCCTCTGTTCACCCAGTCTTGTCAGTGGGACCCTGACGTGCTGTCTTTTGTCCCCACAGGTGCAGCAGGAGTCTGTGTCCAGAGGAAGCTTCTGAGCAGGAGCAGGGCTGCTCCCCGGGGGAACTGAGGCTTCTCCTCCTAGGGAAGAAGGGCGCAGGGAAAAGCGCCACAGGAAACATCATTCTGGGCAGAGATGTGTTTGTGTCCAAATTCAGTGCACGGATGGTGACGGAAAAGTGCCAGAGAGAGAGTGGGGACGTGATGGGCAAGAAGGTGGTGGTCATTGACACCCCCGACCTCTTCTCCTCCGCAGCTTGTGCCGAAGACAAGCGACGCAACGTGAAATGCTGCCTGGAGCTCTCGGCCCCCAGCCTCCACGCCCTGCTTCTGGTGATCCCCATCGGCCACTGCTCGGAGGAGGACAGACAGGCCATTGAGGGCATTAGGAAGGTGTTTGGAGAGGGAGCCAGGAGGCACATCATTATCATCTTCACTAGGAAGGACGATCTGGGGAATGTCTCCATGCAGGATTACCTTGACCAAAATAGCTCAGTCCGAGAGTTGGTTGAAGCCCATGGGAGCCGATACTGGGCTTTCAACAACAAGGTGGGGGAGGAGCTGGGGGAGGCCAAGCGGGCCATCCAGGTGATGGAGCTCCTCGACCTGGTCAAGCGTTTGGTGGAGGCAAATGGAGGACCCTATCATGTGAACTGCAGAAACGAAGGCGGTGGATTCCAGGTGAGAATTCTGGTTAAGGTCTCCCAGGGTCTCCCTGTGGTTAGAGCTGGTGGGAAGAAGCTGGGCCGAGACAAAGAAACAGTTTCACAGGTTTTATTTAAGGGGCTATTTATCTGTAATCTGATACGATGAGGCGCCAGATGGGAGGTCACTTGGAATATTAGCCTTTGGACAAATCATTTATTGGTAAATTAATGGATACATCAGTGTCCTTGTCGGACTTTACCCCTCATATTTCTGGATACAAATGACTCATTAGACACCCCTGGCTTCAGTAGGACTGTCTGCTTCTTGTCCCCTCAGCCTCCCTGCACCCCATCGTCCCCTTCTGGCCACTCTGGAAGTAGCCGAGTCCTCCTATAATGAGCTCTAAAAGTTGGCATCCACCCGGCTTGGTTCTAGTCTGTCTTCTGGTGATGCTACATTGTGCAGCTTTGAGCTCCATCTATTGCCAACAGTTTCCAAATTAGTCACTCTAGTCCAGTCTCTCCTCTGAGTTCTGAGTCCTTTATCCAATTGCTACTTAACATCTCCACTGGACTCTCTTATAAGACCTCAGACTTCACCTGTCTAAACTTCTGGTTTCCCCCTCTTGGTTTTTTAAGTCTTATTTATTTTTAGAGAGACAGGAAGGGAAGGAGGGAAACATCAATGCGTGAGAGAAATATTGACAGGTTGCCTCTTGCATGTGTCCAGCTGGAGACCTGGCCCACAACCCAGGCATGTGCTCTGACCAGGAATCAAACCAGCATCCTTTTGGTTCTCAGGCCAGTGCTCAATCTACTAAGCCACACTAGCCAGGGCTAGTTTTCCTTCTTAAATCAGTGAGACTTCTGTTTTCCTTTCAACTCGGTGAATGGTTGTGCTGCTCACCATGCTCTTCCAACCCAAACCTGGGAGGTGGCTGTGATCCTTCAAGCCAGCACCTGCTGTCTGAGACATCCTCAAGTCTGTGTGATCATGCACCTGGAACCCAGCTGCTTGGCTCCATGCCCAGGGCCATCACCTGGTCCCAGCCAGCCTCTTCTCTCACCTATACTGGTGTACAAATAGTCTGCTGACATTCCCCTCATTCATTCTTACACCCTTATCCACTTCACACACAACAGCTGGAGTGACAGTTCATGGCAAGGGTGTCCAACCTGTGGCCCAAGGGCTGCATGTGGCCCAGGATGGCTGTGAATGCAGCCCAACACAACATTGCACATTTACTTAAAACATTGTGAGATTTTCTTGTGATCATGTGTCACAAATGTCACATAAAATAAATGTATGTTTGCTCATGCTATTTGAGCGCATGTGTGCCGATCATGCCTTATTCCCGTCATTACTATTTGGCAGCATGTATGTTTGCGAGCAACTGTTTTCAAGAATGAAACACAGTAATTGTAAAATTAGAACCAAAATATCTGATGAGCACCCTGAGAGCTTCCTGAGAACTGCAACCACTTCTATCAAACCAGATACTGATGCTCTAGTTTCTCAAATACAGTGTCAAGCATCCCACTGGTTTTATGTTGTCCTCTTTTGTTATACTGTAATAATAATAGATATTAAAAAACAGATATTAAAAAACAATGACATTCTATTGCTTAGATATGTACATTTTCTATATTAGTGATCAAAAACTTGGGACTTGCTCAGTGATTTTAAAAGATTATCAAAAGGGCCGCTGCATAATCAGGATTATTATGTGAGGACTTTTTTGCTTATCTGTGGTGGCGGAGCTCACAAAAATTATGTACAGACCTTTTTTTTTGCTCATCAGTGTTAGTCAGTGTTTGTGTATTTAATGTGTGACCCAAGACAACTCTTCTTCAGTGTGGCCCAGGGACACGAAAAGGTTGGACACCCCTGGTTTCTGTGACTGAAAAACTTGAATGAAAAATGTATTCATAGCCAAGGAATGCAAGCTTTTGTTTCTGGGGAGCTTACACTTCAACTGGAGTGATGTGCACCGAAGAGAAGATTTGAGATCTGCATTCATCATCTGTCCTCCTCATTTTCTAGGGCTGTGTGAAAGAAGGCACATTGCAGAAGGCGGACGATCCACATGGTAAGATGATCTTTAAAAAATGTTAAGCTCATATATGTATTATTTTAAAGATTTCATTTATTTTTAGAGAGAAGGGAAGGGAGGGAGAAAGAAAGGGAGAGAAACATCAGTGCGAGGTTGCCTCTGGTGTGTCCCCTGCTGGGGACCTAGCCCACAACCCAGGCATGTGCCCTGACTGGGAATCAACTGGGCGACCATTTGGTTCACAGACTGGTGTTCAATTCACTGAGCCACACCAGCCAGAGTTCAGCTGCTTTCTTTAAATGCCATGTTCACCCCCCTCCCAGACTTGCTGTGCAGATAAGGTCTGGAGGGCCAGTCCACATGGTGCTCTGGGTGACGCAGACCCAGTGACCATCCTTGGGGTTGCTGATGCTGCCATTTCTCAGTATGTAGTTTTGGCATTGACCTTGGGTCACAGGAGAAGTGGTGCGAACAGGGCACGTATGGAGAGAGAGTTTTGGGGCACAGGTTTTTACTGCAACTTGTTGAGGTAGAATTTACATAGAGTAAAATGCACAAATCTTAAGTATATACTCAGGGCCTTTGTACACATCTACACACCTGCACAGCCATCTGGAAGGTGTCCAGCCTTTTAGCATCTCTGGGCCACGCTGGAAGAAGAAGAGTTGTCTTGGGCCACCACACATTAAATACATTGCTACACAAAATCACAGAAACATCTCATAATGTGTTAAGTAAATTTATGGTGTTGTGATGGGCCACATTCATAGCCACCCTGGGCCCCATGCAGCCTGCGGGCTGCAGGTTGGACTCCCCTAGTAGAGTTGTGGAACATTTCCATCAGCTCTCCAGACTCCTACCAGCATCGGGTAATCAGGTCTGTTCTTGAACGTCGTATAGTGTGCTCATACAGCAAGCAGTTATGCATCCAGCTTCTTTTACTTAGCATGTTCTGGAGATCCAGCTGAGTTACGTATTTGTAGGTCGCTATTTGTCTTTGAGTTCTGAGTTGTATTCTGTTTACTGAGTCTATCACTCAGGGTCATTGTAAACACACATTCTCCCTGGTCCTGCCTCAGCCCAGGGACTGCACGCCCAGTACTTACCTTTGGTTGCAAAATGAGAGGAAGTGTAAGGACCAAGGTCAGTGAAGGCCAAGTTCACATTTTCATCTTCCTGGGCCATCTCAAGCCCTTGACGTAGCTGTGAGCCTGTTCCCAGCCCCTTCCGTGGCTTTCATGTGGGCAGGCAGCTTCTGACCAGGACAAGGGTTGCAAGGGTCCCAGCACTTGCACCATTCTGTATAAACACTGACAGGGAAGAGAAACCACCACACTGCCCCCATCCCTGTGCCCAGCTGGAACAGGAGACTCAGAATCTGTCCTTTCATCCCACAGGCCCAGGGGAGCAGCTGCCGCTGGCCTCGGGGTCTGAGATGAACCCCAGGCCGTCAGAACTAAAGGTCCTGCTCATTGGGAAGCGTGGTGCCGGGAAAAGTACAGCCGGAAACAGCCTGGTGGGGAGGCACGTCTTCAAGACCAAGTTCAGTGACCTCCCAGTAACCATGAAGTTTGAGTCTGAGAGCAGAATGTGGAGAAAGAGGAAAATTATGATCATTGATGGTCCAGACTTGTCATTTTCAGAGGACCTGATATCAGATCTTCGGAAACAAACCCCAGAGGGCCCCCACGCCTTCCTGCTGGTGACCCCCCTGGGCTCCTTTGCTGAGAGAGATAAGAAGCTGCTGGACACCGTCCAAAGCAGTTTTGCAGACGAAGTCACTAAGTACATGGCCGTTCTCCTCACCAGGAAAGAAGATCTAGGGGGTCAGGAAGTAGAGACGTTTTTGAAGAGCAATGCAGACCTCCGTGAGTTCATCCAGAAATGTGGGGGCCGATCCAGCGTCTTCAACTACAGGGCCACAGGAGAGGAGGAGCAGAGCCAGGTGGACAAACTGCTGCAGAGGCTTGTGGACATGGCAGAGCAGAATGGAGACCAGTCCTGCAGCTTTGGAAAGGAAGGTAAGCCGAGTCAGAAAGCAGTTTCTATGCTCTTTCAAAAAGCGCATGTGGGATTTCCAGGCAAAGTCAGAGAGACGCTACCAGGACACACATCGTATCACCCCTGTGACCCCACCTGTGGGGAAACTTACTGTCCACCTTTTCACAGCACACAGGACAGTGCCAGCGAGCACTGTCACTAGAACCACGAGGTGCTTTTGGATGCCAGTGAAAGGCCAATTAAGTTGAAAGTGGTTGTAGTGAGAAGTGACTTTTATCACCGTCCACCTGGAGATGGTACGAGTGGTCGCTTTTTCACAAAAAGTAATGCTGAGAAGTAGTTTCTCAACTACATCCCAGAGACTGTGCTACAGTTAGCATGAGTGGGCAGCGGGGACACTCAGTCACAGCAGGAACAGAAGACAGAGATGAGGTGAGTGACCCACGTGACCCAGGTGAGTTGGTGAAGACTAACAGAGCACACACAGGATGCCAGGGAGTCAAGGAAGGTGCTAGAAAACAGAGCAGATGGAGAGAGAGGAGCAGTAGCATGTCCGTGGGTGAGCACTGGGCAGGGACTGCGGTCCGAGTCCTGCTTGTAGTTTGTGTGTGTCTGGAAGAAGCCATCCCCGTGCTTGGGGCTGGCCCTGCCAGGTGGGAGGTGGCCCTGATGCCCTGGAGCATCCTTGGCAGCAGTGTGTGGCAGGGCTTTGAAGGGGGGACCTGGATCTGCCCAGGGTCACGGCTCTCTCCTGCTTTCCTCCAACAGAGGTCCTGACCATCGTCCTGGTGGGGCGGAGCGGGACTGGGAAGAGTGCCACCGGGAACACCATCCTCGGGAGGTCTGTCTTCCTCTCTCGGCTCCAAGCCCAGCCGGTCACCAAGACATGCCAGAAGGGCAAGAGGAAAGGGGCTGAGTGGGACATCGTGGTGGTGGACACTCCCGGGCTCTGCCCGATGTCCCGTGATCCATCCCAGCTGGAGATGGTCCGCCCCTACGTGCCCGCCAGTGGAAGGAATACGGTTCTGGTCCTGGTGCTGCAGCTGGGACGGGTCATTCACGAGGACGAGGAGGCGGTGAAGATGCTGGAGACCCACTTCGGAAAGGATGTCACGAAACGCATGATTGTGCTTTTCACCCGGAAGGAAGACCTGGGGGCTGAGGACATTACCTATTACTGCGCCAACACAGATGACAGAGCTGTGAAGGGGATCATTAGAAAGTGTGGGGTGGAGCGAGTTTGTGCTTTTAACAACAATGAAACTGGCCAGGCCAGGGAAGACCAAGTGGCAGTCCTTTTGAAAATGGCCAGTGAGCTGATAGGTAACCATAAAGAGGGCTCGGATTTTCTTTTATGTGGGGAACAACAGCGAAAAAACTCCAAGGGTGCCTGGTCCCTCAAATTGCCATTCGGACTGCAAGGAGTTTAAAAGACTGGTGGTCATAGCTGGGTGAAATACCTTTGGTCTCCTAGTTAGTGGCCTGCTCAGGATGGGGGGTGAGGGTGGGGTAGGGGAGGGCTGGTGGGTGGGAAGAAGGTTCCTGATGCCGCGGGCTGAGGGTCAGTGCCTCTTACCATGCGATGCGTCAGCTCTCTGTAGGTAAATGCACTGTCAGGCTGGGGCAGGCAGTAGGGATTATAACGGAGCAAGGAGAAATAAGGAAGGGGAAGGCTTCAGAGGTGAGGCTGGTATTCAGTCAGAATCAAGTCACCAGGCTCCTCTTCCTTGTGTAGGTAGATTGGAGTCAGGACAGACACCAGGACCAAGGCCAAAGCCAAGGCCAGCCTGTGGCCAGAACACACATGGCTACACAGGAACCAGGGCTTCCAGATACGGGAGCACAAGGCATTGACCAGCTAAGCCCTGGGCGTGGCAGGAGGAGGAGCTGGGCTCCCTGGGTGGCTGGCTGCGTGCTGGGTCTGCTTGCCCCTGAACTGCCCTTCCTCCCCCCCTCCCCCCCAGGTGGCTGTCCCTTGTGCTGTCTCCTTTTCAATGCTGAGTGCACAGGGACCCAGTCACCCCCTCTTTGTTGTCCCTGAGGATGTGAAGACGACTCTGTGAGGTCTGAACACACTGTACTGTGAAGTCATCACATGGAGTGAACAGACTAGAACAAAACTCAGAAGCTCAGTAGAAGTGCCAAGGTTAGCCCAGCTGGCAAAGCTTTAAGATTCTAAGTATAATTTTAGATTTCCTCTAGCAAAGGGTATTGAAAACTCCTTTTCACTGTTGAGCCTCTCTCCTTTAGAGGGCTCGGCATTAGGTTAAACCTCAGAGGGCTCACGTGGTAACGGCTGACACTCTAGGGGCTTCAGTGTCCCATGTCCGGGGGCCGGCTGGGGGAGGCAGGTGTGGTGCCAGCCGTCCAGCCTCCTTCTTGTGTTGCCTCTGCACTTCCGGCTGCCGCTCTGTCCCAGGTGGTGGGTGATGTCCTACTCAGCTGTGAGCAGATACAGCTGAGAGCTGCCTGCTGGGGGCGCTGTGTGAGATGAGAACTATGGGATGTTCTCCCAGCAGCTGAAGGGCCAGGCGGCTCCAATATTAACCACTTCATAGATGCTTTGGGGACAGAATCTGTGTCACGTTTGGGTTTTCAAAGTATCAGCTTACCTTCAAGATTGAGCCTTTTATAAGAGCACTGGCTGTGCCCATGAAAACTTTTGTACCTTGTGTGACCCTTCGTATCGCAAATTCTGGAGAATGTACGAGTCAGCATGCTCAGTTGAGTGAAATAATAAAGATGAGCTGTATTAGGAATGCATGTCCTCCTGAGTTAGTTTTCTGTCTTGAGGAAGAGCTTGCCTCTTTGAAGAGCCAGTAGATACGTCAACTCTGGCAAATTTTTGCATCTTTGGTGCCTGGGACTGTTGGATTACAGGTGACAGCCACTTTACTAGGCATCCAGCAGCTCAGGAATCCCACTCTGGGCACTTCTCTGTAGCGAGGGTGAATAAGTGTAACCTAAATTAGAACCAGGAACATCGGGAGGAGCAAGGTCTCGAGGCGATTGTGCCTTTTCCTAGAACTTCCCTTCTGTTTAAAGGCAGGTAGCTCCCCCAGGGTGCTACCCATGGCTGAGCAGGTGACGTGGGAGCTGGTGTGGTTGGGTACATGTGGGCATCTTCTCCCAGGTAGCAAATCACCACCATCCTTTAGGACTAGTCTTGGGGTGGGGACGACAATACTGTTGTGTTAGTTCCTTCAAGAAGCACTTGCTGAGAAAGCTTGAGGCATGCAAGAGGTTTATGGTGGGTGGGGGGTGGAGTAGTGTCTGCTCCAGACAGGAGCGGAAGCAGAGCGGGACAGAGGGAGCCTCGGACCATCCTGCGGAGCTGACATTTGGAAAGAGAAGAGACAGTTGTGTTGGACAAAGAGTCGCTCAGGCCTGACAAAGCTGGTGACGACCCAGAGAATTGTGGGGCAAAGGCGGAGCCATTGCCATCCGGCCTGCACTAGGGGCTCTGCAGGGCTCCACCAGGGAAGGCCTGGCTCTGCTCAAAAGCTAAGGTGGGTGGTGACAATGTCACAGCTGCAGGCCATCAGCTCACCACGCAGAAAGCCACACTTTCTTGTCGCCTTTTGCTTTTCAGTGCAGTATTTTAGATTCCTACTGAGACAGAAAGGGCTGAAAGTGACTCATGCAGAAATAAAGGCTGAAATTCCCTGTAAGATGTAAAGAGGTTAAATTAGTAATTTAAAAAATTCTACCGAACATTTAAAGAAGAATTAACACCAATACTTCACATAGGAGAGGAGGAATTCACAGTTCATTCTATGAGGTGGGTATCATTCAAGGGTGTGACGGAAAAGAAAACTACAGACCGATATCCTTTATGAGTGTGGATGGGAAAATCCTCAACAAAGTAGTAGCAAATTGGACATGACACCTGATAAATAGAAGTGCATATCGTGAGATGGATGTACCACATATAAGTACAGATATCTGGGATTTGTATATAACATTTATTAAATTATAGCCCAATATCCAACGTGTCCCAGGCCCTCAATTTGAAATCCGTCAGTCACCTGTCAGCTGAGTGTCTCCTTCTCCCTGACGACCTGGTGACGTTCGGTCCAAACCGAGGTCGCACAGGGCGGAAGAGGTCAGAGCGCTCCCTCTGCTTCTAGGAGCTCCCTGTCCTCTGGCCTCAGCCTTTCCCGTCCCCTCCTTCCTGGGAAATTGGGCATGTTTCTGCTTCAGCCTGGGGCTCTGCAGCCCAGCATGCAGCGTTGTTACTGGGTTTTCAAACTGGTACTTATGCCCAATGATTCATATTCGGTGTTTTAGTTTTAGAGACCTCACTGGAGATGCTGCACATTATGAGAATCAGCGCACAGACGTCCTCCCTCCTTTCCATCACTCTCTTCTCTCAGCTCTTCCCTTTTGTTTCTCTAAATTTTAAGTCACTTTTGTTTGTGTACATGAGATCCTGTCCCTTAGTGGATCAAAACGACATTTCTCTTTTAGACCATCCAGCTTTGGTTAAATAAACAAAGACACCTTAACCTCCCTCTTCCCCATGTAATATTGAAAGGCAGGAAAAGTCCATTTTACAAACTTTAAACATTTCCCATATATTCAGAACATTGGATAAATTAGAGACGAACATTAAGTGTGCACAGAAGGACATTCAGGGCGCTCCATCGGGTTTAATGAGAAGATGTATTTGTGCTTATTTATAGTGTCCAGCTTGTTTCCAGTCACTATTTAAAAGCCTCAATCCAAAATCTTCCAGCGGCAGGGAGAAAGCTGCCTCTTCTTGAATTTGCTCCCACCGGCTTTTCCAGCTGCTCGCTGGCTGCGGCTCGTTGTTCCAGTGGCTTCTCTGCTTTTGTTTCTTTCATGGGCTCTTCATTTGTTTCTCTCTCACAGTCTGTGATGTTGGCTGAGAAGAGGTGTTTGTGGGGCGCTTCCTGTTGTGCAGCTTTTGGCCTTGTTCTCCCCTCGTTTTCCAGGAACCACGTCGTTTGAGATGGGCGTACGACCTTGCCCCTGTGGCCCTGCGTTCTGGGCGGCTACGCCTGGCACTTGAGGTGGGTGACTCACTTGTTGCTTGGAGCTGGAGTCCCAGAGGTCACTCCGGTAGGTAGGGGCTCCTCCCTGGGTCCTCCGTGTACAACTGCCTGGTGAGTGACCACGGTCACTGGACACACTGTGTCTGAGAGTTTCTGTGGGAAAGAGTGAGCCCAGTGCAGACCCCAGTGTCGGGGATGACATGTAGCCTGGCAGCTTGCGCAGCAGTGACCTTGAGCCCCGCCCCATCTGGGCACCAAGCACAGCAGGTAAAGTTAGAGGCCCCTGTTTTGCAAATAAGTTTGTGGTTTTTGACACTTCACACTCTCCTTTGTCTCAAATTTAGGGTCACATAGCAAGGAGCAACAAGCAAACTGTGGCCTTGACAAGAGTCTGGCTGCAAGGCCGGGCTCATCATAAACAGGGCCATTTTGGGTAATTGCACTATAGTGTTTCCTTCATTTGTTGCAAGTACTAGAATGCTTGCGGTCTGCACCAGGAAACTGGCTTTGTGACCCCTGTCTTAGCCTATTATGAGCTCACCAGTAACAACTCTCACATCCCGTATCTTTGTGTGTCTCTTGGCCTTGACACTTTTGTGGCTGAAATTTCATGATGTTCCTGAGCTCAAGGGGTTTGCCGCTTAGGGTGTTCTATTCGAGGACCGGGCCTGGTTGTCACAAGGCCATTTTATTTACTTGCAGCAACTAAAGGAGATGGGGATTCACATCCAAACTCTGTCTCCCCACAGGGAGGCTAAAGCCATCGATTTTATACCCATTATTTGGTCAGTGACACATTTGGTTTCTGCTTTGCAGTTGGCTGCACTCGTTGGGTTGGGTTGGGTTGGGTTGGGTTCCTGTCAAGGCCATGCTGCTTACAGCAGTGCATGCAAAGTACTGTGTTACAGTTTACCATTTAGCAAGATTGTATTTTGCCCTGGCCAGGCAGCTCAGCTGGTTAGAGCATCTTCCTGCTGTGCCAAGGATGTGGGTTTGATCCCTGGTAAGGGCACATACAAGGTTCAATCAATGAATGCATCAATGAGTGAAACAACTCTTCTTCAAAAATCAATACCCCTCCCCGCCACCCCCCATATTTATTAACAGCCTCCCAGACCTGAGACCCTGGTCCTGTCTAGCAAGGACATCCACCACAAGAAGGTCCACATTTACACCTATAAAAGGAGGCACAACTAACTTATATCCACTTGCCTGTGGTGTATGTTCCCTTAAATGGCTGTAGAGTTCAGTTTGCTGGTATATTGTTCAGTAATTTTGCATTGATATTCATCAGGGAGATTAGCCTGTAGATTTCTCCTCGTGTAGTGCCCTTGTCTTGTTTTGATATCAGGGTTAGTCTGGCCTCACAAAATGAGTTTGGAAGTGTCTCTTCAATGTTTGGACCAGTTTGAGAAGGATAGGTTTTAATTGTTCTTCAAATGTTTGGTAGAATTCATTTGTAGAACCATGTGGTATGAGTTTTGCTTTGTTGGAAGATTTTCGATTCCTGCTTCAATCTCCTTCCTCATTATCGGTCTGCTCAGATTTTTTGTTTATTTATGATTCAGTCTTGGTAGGTTGCATGTTTCCAGGAATTTTATCCGTTTCTTCTAGTTTCTCCATTTGTTGGCCCGTGGTTGTTCATAGCAGTCTCTGTGATCCTCTGTATTTTTGTGATATCTTCAGTTGTAACATCTCCTCTTTCATTTATGATTTTATTTATTTGAGTCTTTTCTATTTTTTTAAAAAACTGGTTGAGCTAAAATTTCATACATTTGTTTATCTTTTCAAACAAAGAGATCTTAGTTTTGTTCATCTTTTCTATTGTCTTTCTGATCTCTATTTCCTTCCTCTGCTAATTTTGAGCTTAGTTTGTTTTTTTTCTTGGTTCTTTGATGTAAAGTTAAGTTGTTTATTTGAAATATTTCTTCTTTCTTAGTGTGGACCTTTATCGTTATAACCTTCCATCTTGGAATTGCTTCTGCTGCATGTTGTATGTTGTTACCACCTTTGTTTCAATTTAAACAAAAAATTCCCCTGATTGTTCAGGAGTGTGTTATTTCATTTTCATGTTTTTGTAAGTTTCTCAGTTTTTCTCTTGTTAGTGACTTTAGTTTCATACTATTGTGGCCAGAAAAGATATTTGGTGTTTTTTCAATATTTTTAAATTTGCTAAGACTTCTTTTATAAACATATGGTCTCCAGACGTTGAATAAAGGCCCCTCAGGGCTGACCCAGAAGACGGGTCAGGGGTGCAGAAAGTGAACACGGAGACAACTGGCACCTCCGTAAAGGGCCGAGACCAAAAACAGCAAGTTGGTGGGTACGCAGAAAAGATTCTTTTTATCACTGAAAAAATTCAGCAAAAGGCAAGTGACTCTTAAAAGCAAAACAAAAACAAAATATATAGTTGAGGTTATATTTTATGGAACTGTAAAAGGTACGACAACAATAGTGCATAAATGGGGAGGGAGGAAGCAGTGGTAGAATGTTGCAGAGATCTCACAGGACTTGTGCTGTGATGGACTGTTCACTGGAGGTAGAATGTAGGCTAAAGGTGCGTACTGTCAATCATGGAGCAACCACTGGGAAAATGACATGAGGTGCAGCTAATAAAGGAGTAGATCAACTAAAGTGAAATTTTACAATTCACCCAGAAAGGCAGAGAAATAAAGGACAGATGGGAAAAACAGACAAGTAGCAAGACAATGAATTTAAACACAACCGTATCAATAATATTA